CATCCCTCCTAAGTTCTAACTAATAGGATGTGCCAAAAGGGTGAGAAACTCTAGCCACATACCTTGGTTGCCCTTGCACATTTGGAAAACCCCATAAAATATTTGGCATCTGCTAACTGCTACATACATTGAATGAAGGAGAGGGGGTGGGGTTCATTACTGTGCAGGAGTTCATGAGGGTGCATGTAATAAATTATTCGCTCAAAATGCATTTTTATAAAACCATATGACTCCTAGTATGATTAATCAACCAGGGAAATGAAAATGAACACAAAAAGGAAGACAGCTTCACCAAGATATTGTTATGATCAGGCTTTTGTTTGTATTGATGAATCGGGAGGAGTTTCAGGAACCCTTACGTTTCATGTTTCATTTACAACAACTTCATTTTGTATAAGGTTGAACACCCTTGATTTGGGTTTCAAGACTACTACAGACTCAAAGAAATAAAGAAGACAATAGACATCGAGATTTTAAGGCTTAAATGACACGTCATATACATGGCTATGAATGCACGAACGTCAAGCTGCCTTCATTCTTTAATCCCTTGCCTAAATCAGGCCTCGATCTCAAGTATTCTCTCTAGAAATGATCTGTGAACTCCCTGGAGTTAACATGGGATGCTTTGTGCAGTACTCCGCTCTTCCAGGGTCTCATATCTCACCCTAACGTCCCTCAAAATAATCTCTCTTCTTGATAGTTAATGAAGATACTATATAGCAGTTGAGAGCAAAAGTATGACTTGACATCCATACTAAGGACCCTCAAAATAATCTCTCTTCTTGATAGTCAATGAAGATCCTATATAACAGTTGATAGCGAGGGTAAGAATTGGACATCCATACTTATCCAGTATCCACGTAGTTAGGTCCTCTCTCTCATAGGAACATGCGAGGATGAACATCAAATAAGTTTAGATATCTCCAAGCTCGGAATTTAAGGATCTCTTCCGAGAAAATTTCAGGTTGGAAGTTACCTGCCACGACTGACAGTCAAAAGACTCAAAACCATAGGGAAGAGCAGTCCCTACTTCTCATCGAATCCCAACAAACCATAAATATTTGTGCCCTAATCATTTCATACGCTTACAGAGCATCTCAAAGACAAATCCAATGGCATAAATCTTGAACCAAAAGCATCAAATATGAGTGAGATGGTTTATTGAAACTACCCTATAACAGTTTTGTCACACTGCTGCAACATGAGGATTTCTTCCTTAGATCACATTCAAATCAAGAGTTTATTGATCTCAATCCTTTGCTAGCTTGGTAGAGAATCCAATGAAGAATGTCTCCATCAAATTTCATGAGAAAACTATTCATGGATTAGGAGAAAATCTCAATTTGAAGTAGAGACTGGCAGTCAAAATGCAGTCTGCTGAAATATGATCCTTACCGCTTTTAAAACAGAAATTTATCAGCTCTTATCCTTTATTTTGATTGTGAGCATTGTATGAGGAACATATCCATTAATTTTCATGAGAAACATACCCAGGAATTGAGAGAAATCTCTTAGATTACAACTATACAAAGTTTCATATTGATCCAAGATGATAAGATTTCGGACAGGCAATAAAGCCATAGAGGCATGCTCTGACCTGCAATGGTTTCAAAGATATATTGAACGATATACGAGTATTATGAAATTTGAATAATAGGCTTATAATGCCTTAAATGTAGATCTGTGAAGTTTTCAAGTGACTGATGATCAAGCTTTCTAGGGGCATGTTTGACTAACAGTGACAATAATTGGGCATAACCACATTGTCAATTTTGATGGAATTTGACATACAGATATTGGAAGTATAATTTTCCAATTGCCTATGCAGTTACAGGCCCGTCTGAGCCCATTTCTTTGAGTTTCAGATTTGACTT